CCCCCCCCCAGGGGGGAGGCTCTGGGGCTGGGGGGGGTGGGCCCCCCCAGACCCCCCCCCCCCCCCAATCCTGCAAGGAGCGATAGCACCAAGGGGGACGGCTGCTCCCCGCAGTTTATTCCGTGCTCCCTGCCAGGACAGAGGGGCTGGTGGGGGGACAGGCACTGCCAGAGGTGTGGGGTCCCTCCTGGGAACGTGGGGCCGGGGACGGCCCTGGGATGGGGGGGGAGATCCGGCATTTTTGGGGGGGGGGGGGTCTCAGCTTTGCTTGGGATTTACATTCTGGACCATGCAGTAGCACCAAAGTTCATGAGGTCATCGGTGACGGCGAGTGGTTACTTCCGCTTCCTCCCGCAGTACTTCCCTTGTGCGCAGCCCACGCCGCCTGGGGGGGGATATACAGTGTGAGCCCCCCCCGCACCCCCCGACCCCCTGGATGGGTGGCTGGGAGAAGGGCAGGGGGTGCAGGAGCCGGCCCCAATAGGGCAGGGGGTCACCTGGTGGCAGTGCTCACCTCTAAAGCCCAGGGCACCGAGGGCTCCTCCGAAGGTCTTGGGGGGCTTCACTGCAGGGGGGAAGCAGAGCAGGGTGAGCGGGACCCCCACCCTGCTCGCCTGCTGGGTGCAGGGGGGATATGCACCCCCCACCCCAAAAGTGGCCCACTTGGGGGATGGACACTTACCACCAAATCCCAGCTGGCCGGCGACTCCACCTGAAAGGAGAACGAAGCCCTCAGCACCCAGCAGGCAGCCACATTGCTCTGCCCTGCACCCCCCAGCTGAGCACCCCCCAGCTCAGCCCAGCCCCCTAGGTCCCTCCCCAGGCTGTGGCCACGTCCGCGTGCTCCATGGGCCGCGCATGTCCCTGTGAGCCGGATGGCCACTGAGACGTGCCCTGTGTGCGTGCCGAGGCGCTGAGCTGGGGATGGTACCTGGAAATATCGGTGACACGCCGAAGCCGGGAACTCCAGCCCCTGGGGAAAAAGCAACAGCCAGTGACAGCCTGTGACAGCAGTGCCACCCCAACCCTGCCTGGCTGGGGACACCCTGGCTGGGGACCCTTGCTCCCTGCAGGGACAGGAGCCGCTGCAAAAGCCTCTGTCCCTGCCATGGCACCCATCTGGCTTCAGGATGCTCTCCCCGCTTCCCAGTGGGGGATGGCAGCAGGGTGGGGAGAAGCGTGGCGTGGTAGGGGACACACTCCCACTCCAGCCCCAAATTGCAGCACTAACCTGGCTGCAACCCCCCAGCACCAACACCTGCAGGATTGGAGAGCCCCGGTGAGGGTGGGCAGCGTGGGGACAGGGATGGGGGTCACCCCTCCAGCCCCTCCCCGGTCACAGCAGACCTTGTTCCTTACCTGGCTTGGGAGGTTTCCCAACAGCTCCTGGATATAAGATCCCTGTGTCAGAGAGGGGCATCAGTGCAGCCCACAGTGGGGCTCACTGCCCCTGGGGCTGCAGCCAGACCCTGCTATGAGCCCAGAGGGTCTTTAGGCAGGGACCTGCATCTCTGCATGTTAGGGACATGGTACAGTACCATCCCTTGTCCCCATGGCAGGGGCAATGCTGGTGCTATGGCCCTTGGTACCTTCTCGGTGATGGCATTCCATTCCGATCACACCCCAGGAGCAGGGCAGGCAGCAGACACAAGATGGGACACAGGGCACGGTGACAGTGTGGGGTGGGACCGTGCCGTGGGACGGGGAGGGGACAAAAACGACCCTGCATCCCCTGCATCCCATACACCCCCTTCCCTTTTCGGCACTCTGCCAGCATGGCACTGCCATTCTGCTCCCTGCACTCCAGCCCTGGGGAGCCCCGATGCCAGGGGCCAACATCACTCACCAGCACCAAGTCCACCGACTCCGAGGCCACCGACTCCGAGGCCACCGACTCCGAGGCCACCTATGACAGGGACCCCAGATGAGCACCAGCAGGAACAGGCAGCAGGGCAGTGTCTGATCTTCTCCTTGCCAAGCCCCAGGTATGCCCATCCTTCCTCGGGCAGCCTTACTCTGCCCATGCCCTGGGGGAGCATCCCTCTGCCTGCACTTCCCGGCTGCCTGGGCTCAGCTCCTGCCAGCACCTACCTGGGATGCCGCCGACCCCTGGGACTCCAGCCCCCGGAACACCTGCCAGAGAGAGATCATTAACAACTGTCCCCCCGCAGCCCAGCACCCACAGCTCAGGGCACTCCCAGCCAGTGCTCAAGCCGCTGGGATGGCCCTGACACCCATTCTGGGTGTCCCCGGCACCCACTGCACAGCACCCAGAGCAAGATGACCCAGAGGGAGCTCACCCCCTGCATGACGCATTGCTGCAGGCAATGCAGAGCAGGAGAAAAATGTCCCCAGTAGGTCCAGGGGAGGGGGCATGGGTGGTACTTTGCACCCACAGGTGACAGCATGCCACCTCCCACGCCTGGGCCACCCTCCGCTGGGGCACCAGGGGCCACACAGGGGACGCAAAGTGAGGCCAGCACCCCAATGCCCACACAAGAAGGGTGCCCAGTGATGGTCCGAGGTGGACCTGGGACAGAGTGGCAGATACGTACCGAATTTGGGAGGTTTAGCACCAGGCTGCACCCCTACTTGAGGGATGCCTGTAAAGCAAATGAGGACACCGCAGTTAGGACAGTCACCCCTGCACACACACCCCCGTGTGCCACCATCCCCCATCCCACCTGCATCCCCCTCTGCCACCCCTCCACGTGGCTTGGTGGCTTTTAGCATCCCTGGCCACTGCTGTCCCCAAGGGGGTCCCCAACTGGGGTGTGATGAAGCACGTACCTGCCCCAGGAAGGATGCCAGTACCGGGTACCCCCACGCCCGGCACCAACCCGGGCACAACGCCAACGCCGGGCGTCACTCCCGGCACTCCGGCGACACCGGGCACCCCACCTGGCACCCCTCCAACCCCAGCACCTGTGGAGAGAGGGGGTGAGGCAGCATGGGCGTGAGCCCCATGTGATCCCCATAATCCTGTGGGATGATGTGGCCAGCATGGGGTGCCCACCCCTGAAGCCCCTCAGCTCCCCTTCGACCAGTCTGTGCCATGCCAGGGCTTCATGGGCAGACCCCAGATGCCCGCTGGGCAGGTAGGGCTGCCTGCTGTGGGCTGAGCTGCGAGCGATGGGCTTCTCCAGCTGACTCACCGAATTTGGCTGCCTTTGCTGCTGCTTTTGCTGCTGCGGCTGGACCTCCGACCCCTGAGTGGAGACAGCAAGAGCGGGGTCAGTGTCCCCAGGGGGATCCTCTCCAGCAGTGCTGGGCAGACCCCATCCCTCCCATCTTGCCTGCATCCCCCAAAGGATGGCCATGAGTTGATGGAGACCACCAAGGCCCTCCTCACGCTTGTCCTGCCCCAGACCTGCCCCTGCACCAGCCAGGCTGCCACTACCACCTGCCTTCTTCCTTCTCACCTGGGACACCTCCAATGCCAGGGGCCAGACCACCCACTCCAGGAGCCAGGGCACCTACACCGGGAGCCAGGGCACCCACGCCAGGAGCCAGGCCACCCACGCCAGGAGCCAGGCCACCTGCTCCTGCAAGAAGAGAAGGAAGGATTTGGGCTTCAGCTCAGGAAAAGAGGTGGTGGAAGGAGCTGTCTGAAAAGGCATGGCAGGCTGGGGTGGGCAGATGGATATGCAGATGGATGGACGGATGGATACACAGATGGATGTGGAGTGGTTGGATGGATGGCGGGGTAGACGGATGGTGGGATAGATGGATGGATGGATGGAGGTGTGGATGGATGGATATTGTGGTGGCTGGCTGGCTGGTGGTGTGGATGGGTGGGTAGAAGGAAGGGTGGATGGACTAACGTAGGAGAAAGTGTATGGATGGTGAACCTAGGATCCTCCATGCAGACCAGCTTTCTGGAGAGCACTCCCTGACACAGTCAGCACCTCATCCCACATACAGCCCTGCGGAGAGATCATCCCTCACCCCAACCCACAGGGACCCTGTGCAGTGCTCAGGCCCAACGAGGGGAGCAGCATGGGGTGGGGAGGTGGCAGGAGACAGGGATATCTCATGTGGGATAACCCCAGAGAGATCCTGGCTTACCGTACTTTGCTGCTTTGGCGGCTGCTTTGGCAGCAGCGGCAGCCGCTGGACCTCCAACTCCTGGGGGAGAAGGGGAGCATGAGGGGCAGTGATCGGCCGTGGTGGCCATGCTGGCATCCCTCAGCTGGCAGTGCTGGGGACATGCCAAGCATCCCTTAGACACCACCTCACCTGGTATGACTCCGACCCCACCGGGCACCAGACCGGGCACGCCGACACCAGGCACACCAACTCCAGGCACACCCACGCCGGGCACGCCGACGCCAGGCACGCCGACGCCGGGCACACGCCCTGCTCCTGCAGAGAGGTTCAGGGATGTGGCTGAGCAGGCAGGGTCCGTAGGCAGGGGTCCCGCTGATGGCCCCACCATCCACAGTGCCAGGGGTGCCCCCCACCCTGCCCATTTGCAAACATCCCTCCTCCCTCCCTGGGAAAGGACAACGGTGACTCACCATACGCTGCGGCTTTCGCTGCAGCCTTTGCCGCGGCTGCCGCGGCTTCTGGGCCACCCACTGTGGGGACAGAAGGAAAAGAGTCAGGGGACCAGCATGGCCAGCACCACCCCATTGTCTCGTGCCAGCCCATACACTCACCTCCAACACCGGGCACCACACCAGGAACTCCAGCCACGCCAGGCACGCCGGGGACACCGGGGACACCAGGGACACCAGGGACACCGGGGACACCACCAATGCCAGGAACGCCGATGCCAGCTCCTGCAGGCAACAAGAGTGGAGAAGTTAGATCTTGCTGCAGCAACAGCAGAAAGGTGGGACCTTGTCAAAGGTCTGCTCTCGTCGTCATGCTGTGATGATGAGAGCACCCCACTGCCTCGTCCCGGGAGGGATGCACAGCGGTACAAGGGAGGGACTGGTCCCATGTCTCCCAAGAGGCCCCAGCGAGATGGTAAATCTGCTGTTGTAAAAGAAAGGCTGGGAATTCACCAGCACAGGGGACCATGATGATCCTCATCATCACAGGGGGCTCCAGATGGTCCTCATCTTGGGGACATCAAGACTTGCAGCCAAACAGGCCATGGAGGAGAAGTGGCTGGCGGTCCTCAGTAGCTGTCTGGAAGGGCTGGGTGCCCTGGGCACTGGCCAGACTGGGAAGCTGCCCAGGGCAGTGACAGCCTTGACCCACTGGCACTCATTAGTGCCACAGGGACAAGCATCATGTTACTTCTGGAAGGGCTGAGTGCCAGAGGGGTTGGCCTCATGGTCCCCTGCTCGGCAGGTGCCTGGCACCCCAGCACAGAGCACACACCCCTTAACTTGTCACTGCCAAGTTTCTCCCTAAATCCCATCCTTCCTCAGGCATGTGGTGGGATTTTTTCATACATGATGCAGAAGAGGAATGTAAGAATTGGCCAGCAACGGTTAGCCCTCAAAGGAAAGCTGCCATTGAGCATGGCTGCTCCCAGGGGACTCCCAGGGCCCTGCAGTGATGATGCAGAAGGTCCTGGGACCTGGCCATGTAACCTCTGGCACTGCCTTTTGGAGCAGCACATGGATCCCCCAGCCCTGTGCAGAGCCTTGGGGCCACTTCTGCCTCCTCTCTCTGCACCTGGGCTCCCAGCTTCCCTACTGCTCGGCCATGTCGCTTGTCCCCTCTGGGCTCCTCCTTGCTGGAGCTGCCTTGGGGGTGGTTGTGCCTGCTGAGCACCTGGGTCTTGCTAGATCAAGTTGGATGCACTTGCTGGATCCCACCAGGTTTTTGGAAGGCGGTGACCCTGGGCAGGGGTCCCACTGCCAGGGATCTCTGCCCGCCTGGGCAGCGAGGCTGAGCCTGTGGGCACCAGACCCTGGGTCAGGTCTGCTGCTGGTAAAATGCATTTGGTACAAAACCCAAGAATTCAGAAAAGGTCTAAAGACATCTGTTCAGTCTCATCAGTTCACCTCCATGAAGCAGCCTGCAGAAACCCCAGAGAGGGAGAAGGTCCTGCCCTGAGGATGAAGCCAAGCCGGATGCAGCGGCTGGGAGCTGGACTGGGCACAACCCATCCCTGGATGCTTCCCCGTAATGAGCCATCAGGAGTGATCCCCAGGGGAGACGCGCCTGTCTGGGGGTACCCTGAGTGCCTTGGGTTGAGAGGGTCAGCAGGGGTACCCAGGGAGCTGCTGGGGAGCTCCTTGCACTGCGCGGCACGTACCGTACTTAGCTGCCTTTGCTGCTGCCGCTGCTGCTGCCGGCGTCCCAATTCCTGGAGATAAAGGAGAGAGGAACCCTCAGCCACCAGCCCCCATGCCCCCCGCAGAGCCAGGTGGTGGGGACGGGGCTCCTGGGAAGAGTCACCTGCCACCCCGGGGACACCTCCGACACCAGGCACCAAGCCGGGGACACCACCAACGCCGGGCACGAGGCCTGGGACGCCGCCAACCCCAGGCACAAGGCCTGGACCTGGAGGGAAGCAGAACAGTCAGACCCCCCCCAAAACACCCCGTGACACTGGTGGGGACACGGTCTCCCCTGGTGTCATGGGAGGCTCCAAGGCACCTGGCTTTGTGGTAGGCTCTCCACATCTCCCAAACCAGCTGCTCAGGCGACCTAGGAAGTGCCCAGGATTGAGATTTCCAGCTACCTACACCCAACCCAGGGGTCTGGAGCCCACCCAACCACCCAGGAGCTTGGGGACCCCCAAGGTTCCCCAAGGCTGTAGTTGTAAATCCCAGCTGCTCCTGAGGCTGACGTGTTTCCTCTGGATGCTCTAATGAGCAGTTGTTTGCTACTCGCTTTTCTCCCACAAAACAGTCAACGAGGGGAGCAGCGAACACGAGATCTGCATCACCAAGCGCATCCCTCTGCTAATGAATGACAGCTCGTTACAGACACCATCTCCCTGGACACCTTGCCGGAGCCTGGCACAGCAAAACCACATCTCTTATGGAGAAACCATGCATGATGGAGACATACTGCCCCGTGTTGGCTATTGCATTGCGAGCTTGCCACCGTCGAAAAAGCTGCTCTTTGCAAACCAGGCTTTGCTACACCAAAGCCCAGCTCTCCCAAAAGGCTGTTGAAAGCTGCCCCCAAGGGGGTAAAGCCTCTCTGCAGCCCTGGGGAAGGTTTTGCACCTTGTTGCTTTCCACCCGCAAAAGCTACTGGCTCAGCAGAGTGGCTTCGCTTTGCCCCAAGCTCTGGCAAGCAGCTGCTGGAGCCGGGGCAGGGTTCTGGGGCTGGGAGAGCACCCCAGGAGATGGGGCAGGTGGTGGTGGGGCAAGCAGTGAAGTCACGCAGCCCTGCACCAATGCACAGCTCTTCCGTGACCGGAGGGTGAGCCTGACCCCGCAGGCAGCTGCTGGATCTGTCTGAGACAGCAGGCAACTCACCAAAACCTCCTGCCTTCGCCGCTGCCTTTGCCGCTGCTGCCGCTGCTGCCGGCCCTCCAACTGCCGGGGTAGCGGGAGAGAGTCAGGGGTGTGGGATGGGGGGAGGCAACCCTCCCCGAGCCCCAGGGCCAAGCCCCGCCATCGCCTCACCTCCGACTCCTGGGACAACGCCGACGCCGGGTACCACTCCGCCAACTCCCGGGACGACACCAGCCCCGGGCAGGACACCGGCTCCTGCCACAGAGGAGAAGGGGACCATCAGCTCAGTGATGCAGGGACACCCAGCATCCCCCCAGCCTGGGAGGGAGGGAGGCAGAGTTGCCCCGCTGGGGAGATGGCCGATGGATGTGCCCACAGAGGGTGGCTCACCATATTTCGCTGCTGCTTTCGCTGCTGCCGCCTGTGCTCCAACTCCTGGGGAAGGACATGGGGAGCCGCTGAGGTCCCAAGACCATTCCCACCTCAGCTCCCCCATCCCGCAATGACCCTGGGGACCAGCCCCTCCTGTCAGCATCCACCCCCCTCTCCTTTGGGAAATGATGCACCCCTCCAGGCTGTCCCTGGGGTGACGCTGTCACCCTGGGGCCACCAGACAGCCGGGCAGTGCCCAACACCCCATCCAAGGACCGGCAAAGTGACCAGGGTGCCCTGTCCCCCCGCCATGCCTGTGCCAGTCCCCCACCCTGGGGCTGCCCAGGAAGGGAGCATACCTGTCCCAGTGGGGTACCCTGCCTTTCCTCCTGCCCCGATGCCGGCTCCTATCCCGCCGGGCCCGAAGCCTGCAATCACAAACAGAAAGGCAAAGCCAGGTCAGGCACTGGCCCTAGGAAGGGGAGGCGAGGCAGATGCAGCAGCTCCTTTGGCCCAGAGGTTCTCCCCCCACCAGCGTCGGGGGATGTGGGAGGGATTCCGGAGCCAGCTCCCCCCGAGTTGAGGTGCCAGTTCAAACATCCCTGCCTGGAGCTGGCCACGGCTCAGGACATGTCCTAGCAGAGAGCCAGACAGCCAGCCGACCGCTACTGGTGCCACAGCATGCCTGCGGATTAACGGCTCCCGGCCCTGTGGTGCGGGATGCCAGGAGAGCTGGCTTGCTCCCAGCTGGGTCCAGAGGCACCACAGCAGGAAAAGGCACGGGTCCCCCAAGGGACCACCTCACCCTGGGAGCGGGATGCCCTTCACACCACCCTGAGGGTCAGTGGCCACGAGGCCACAGCGGCAGCCGGCGGAGCCGTGAGGAGCTACGACCGCGGAGCGAGGGCTACGAGCACTCACCGTAGGGCAGCTTACCAGTGCTGTAGGGCAATCCATAGCCACCTGGAGAGGAGAGAAGGTGGCGGGTTAGCACCTGGCTGCCGGTGGCCGTGCCCCCTCTGCCCCGCGGTGTAGCCCCTCTCTGCCAGCCGGCTGTGCGGCACCAGCCCTCAGGGCTCCTTCCATCGGGATAGTAAATCCTCTGGGATACAAATCCCTGTGATAGAGCTGGGCCGGGAGATACTCTTCTCCATCACCTTGGAAGCCGCGGCTCCAGAAAGAGCCACCCACTCTCAGCCCCGCACCGAGGGCTGTGGTGCCCAAAGCTAGTTTTGCAGGAGCCTCCCATGACCCCACTACAGCGGGGGGTCCCCTGGGAGCCCCGTGGCGAGAGCTGTACCCAGCTGGCCATGCCACGGCCAGCTCCAAATGAAAGGTTTTAATTGGAATCAGGGCTTGGGAGCCTCTGCTGAAATGTGACCTCATTAGGAGGTTGGCGCGAAGGGATGGGGAGGGATTACAAGCAGAACATCACAGCCAGGGAAATGTCTCCTTGCGAAAGAGCAGGATCCCACCACTCAGGACGGAGCAGGGATGCCTGTGACTCGGCAGGAACCATGTGCTCGGGAGCCAGCAGCACTGAACTCCCATCACTGCTGGCAGTGGCCTGAGGAGGGGTGATGGGCTGCCACATCCCTGATGGGGACACCTCGAGTGGTGCGTAGGGTGGAGGGTGTCTCACACAACAAGCCTTCCTGCCGGAGGGGGTTGCGGGCAGGGTGGGGATGAGGCTGCCTGCAGCCGGGACGGGATTGCTCATGGCAAAGCATCTCCTTGAGCGCAGTACACTGTCCCCTCCCACCAGCCAGCATGTGGGGACCAGATTTGTCTCCACCCTGCCAGGCTGTCCCATCGTGTCCCACGCCAGCACGGCGTTGCTGGAAGGCTGAGGCTTTCCAGGCTGCAGTGGCCATGAGCCGTGCTGGGTGTCCTCCACCTTGGGGACCCCCCTTGCCCAAGCCAGGGCCCCTCATCAGCGCCTCACTCAGCCCAAAGCTGCAGAAGGGTCTGGCACTGGGTGACACACATGGAGGTGACACCAAGGGTCAAGACTCCAAGCCCTTGGCTCTCCAAGGGTTTTGCTGGGTCCAAGCCCAGCTCCCCACCACCCCGAGTTGGATGCGAGAGCAACCCCTGCCCTGGGGCTGTGCGCATCCATCCTGCACCAGTGTGGTGGATGCCACCAGCACTGCTGGGGGGCTCAGAGCCAATGGGGACACTGGTTGGCATGGAAAGGGCTTCGCACAGACCGATGCCACCTCGGTGCGGCTGGGCATTGGGGAGCAGTCCCCATCCCTACAGCATCGGGTGGGACCCCGATTTCAGGCACAGCTTCAGGCTGAGCCCCCAGAGAGCGGGGTGGCCCCAGGGCTGCCTCCTGAGCAGGGACAGTACAGAGCAGGAGCTGGCTAGGGCATTTGGAGCAAATAATCCAAAAAGGAAACTTTCCACTGAAAATGTTACTTTCCCCGCTGTTCCCTTGTCCCCTCTCGACCTGGACCTACTGCAGCTGGCACACAGCACAGGGGATGCAGGGATGTGTGGCAGCCCCCGGGCCCATCCACAGCATCAAAGCGAGAGCCTCGACAGCCAGCCCGGTGTGTCCCCGTGCTGCCAGCCCAAAGCCCTCAGAAGTGACAACTGGCATCCCCCAGCGCTCCGGAAAGGATCGGGGTGCCAGGCAGCACCCAGCAGCTGAAACCACACCTGGGGACACCACCACTGTCCCGCTGGTCCCTGAGAGAGGCATGATGCACTGATGGAGCTCCCTGGCCAAGGGGATCGGTGTCCTCCCCTGATTTATTTAACGAAGTCTCCCCATAAAGTGGGTCAGCCGGCAGCGGCGCCCCGTCCGGGCTGCGGGCCACTGGTGGGGCCGCTGCGGGATGGAGCCAGGCACGGCCGCGCCACGTGCCGGTGGTTTGCTCTCTGCGCCGGGCACCCCATGAAAGGCTGTCTGGGGCCGGGCTGCAGCCAGGAGGCCAGACGGTATCCGATGGCGGCAGGGCCGAGTCACCCTAACGAGCGTAACTCTGCCTCCGCGGGAGGAAGCCGGAGCGGGCCAAGTATTTCTGCCGCCGTTTGCGGTGACGGGCCCCAGTGGGGGGAAGCTGGCAGAGCTGCTGGGGCTGGCGCCTGTGCCGGGGTGGGACCTGCTCCCCGGGGTGGGCTCCCCCGCCAAGGCTTTCCTGCCTGCAGCAACTTGTTTCGGCGAGTGGGAAAATGCCCGTGGATCTACTTGCTCCCCAGCGCTCCAGGGGTGCGAGTCCCTGCCCAGATCCGGCTGCCCTCCTCCTCAGGGATGCTCCTGGGACCAGTAAGCTGGCAGCATGGCCCTTGGAGGGCACAGAACCTGGTACCAGCTGCCTGGCACTGCCTGTCCTGCCACCGTCCCTGCGTGGGCATGGCTGGCTGGGAACAGGGCAGAGCTGGCACCTGGCACAGGACTGGGAGATGGAGGTCCCCAGAGTAGCCCATCCTGGGAAAGGGGTGTTGAGCACCCCCAGGCTTCCCTGGGCTGGGGCTGAGCCTCATTTGGGTGGGCAGTGGGGAGGGAGACCTGCTTGGAGCTTCATCCTTACCACCTGCCTGCTGTTGGGGGCCTTGGCTAGAGCTCCTTGAGCCCAGGTGAATGCCCAGCGATGCCCAGCACAACCCCAGGAGCCACAGAAAGCAGACAGTCCCTGCAGGGGCTATGCCTTGTGCCAGGAGGAGCTGGCAGGGATAGCCTGGGGTGGCCTGGCCCAAAGCATGTCCCCAGAACATGCTCTTTCCTACCTTACAAGAGCCAAAGAGGCACAGCATCCTCATGGGCTGGGGGCAAGACCAGCAGCAGCATCCAAGCAGTTGCCCGCGAGGCTGTGATAGGCAGGGCTGCTGCTGGACTCACCTGCCCCATGCCCCTTACTTTGTCCTGCTGTCCCAGGGCCAGCACTGGCACTGCCAGGTCCAGGGGACCCGGGGGCACCACAGTTCAGCCCTGGGGAATGGCGGGTCCTTCTCCTGGCAGCGCTGGGGGTCCTTCACCCCTAGCCCTCTCGGCTGTGACAGCTTACCTGGGAGCTTAGGAGCTTTGATGGGATACCCCAGAGGGACACCGGGCTGCTGACCTCCAAAACCTCCTAGTCCTGCAAAGCCAACAGCAGACTCTCACCTGGAGCCCGCGCCCAGGCTGCCACCAGTCCTTGCGAGAGGGGAGTGCCGCGGGGCACCCCGAGAGAGGAGAGCGGGTGGCTTGGGGAGCCCTGAGGCATCTTCTGGCATGGGGAGGCCATGGCTGTGATGAACAGGCTTGGGAAGGAAGAGAAGGATGGGCGAGAGAGACGGGACACTCACCAGGGATTCCTGCGAAGGCTCCTGCTCCTAGGCAGAAACACAAAGGCACCTGCGTGAGCCTTGGGGCTCATCCCTGGGGTCCAAACTAGTCTGCGTGGGCTCAGCCAGAGGTCGGCTTTGCTCACCCACGTGCCCTGTCGGGCTGTGACCCCAAAGGATGGGCTGGAGCCAGCCCCAGCAAGATGGAGATGAGGGCAGAACTGGAGCCAGCCCAGGACCCACCCTCCACCCCAGTGTCTCCAGGGGATTGAAGTGACCTACCTGGACCTTTCGGCTTGACTCCAGCACCAGTGGGTACTCCGGGTAGCACCCCTACGCCAGGGAAGCGGACACCTACAGCAGAGACCAGAGGGGCCAAGTGACCACAGTGGGGCATCATGGTGTTGCTAGTACCCGAGACCCCTGCACCCAGCCCCCAAATCCTTGTCACCCATCTCTGGCTCAGCACTAACCCTTGTACCCTGGGACAGGGTACCTTCGTCCCCTGGGGACTTGCTGGGCCCCCCTGTGCCAGCCACACCGCACCCCCTGGGCAGAGCTACCAGTGAAGGGTTTGCTCCAGCCCTGGGGCTGCCTGTGCTTTGGGGAGGGGCAGGCTGCCCACAGAGGAACTTGGGGTGCCTGCGGGGTGCATGGCACCCACGAGTGGGTCCCACAAGTAATAGCAAAGCACCAGCCCACATCATGGTATAGCCAAGCCTGGGCATTGCTCTCTGCCCCGGTGATGTGCAGTGGCTTCATTCAAGCTGGGGCTCTTTAGGGAGCGGGAGCAGGGGTCCTGCCCATTGAGCCCCAACCCTCCAGGGCCAACAGGCAGTGCTTTGGCCTTGCAGTCATTTGGGTTGGGTTTGTGGTTTCGAGGGGGTTTTTTTGGCTTGGTTTTTTTTTCCCTTTTACAAATGTCTTTCATTATAACTCACGTGTTTTCAGACATGGAAAAGACATTCCTGACCAGCAACACACTTCTCCTTCTGACAATGTCGAAACATCTTGTTTTCACAAGTTTTCCTCCTCCAAATTACTTTGCAGTGAGGAATTCCTCTCCCCCTGCCACCTCCTCCCCTCCTTCCCACGCCGCCTTTGGCTGGGCAAGCTGGCCCTCACGTGGTCTGTGCCAGCTCCTCTCCTGGTGCTGATGCAGCCTGCTCCCGCAGAGCTTGGCATGAGACCCCTGGAGACGCCGAGTCCCCCGTCTTTGGCACAGTGGAAATGTCACTATGGCCCCAGTGAAAGGGTTTGGAAACTGCAAGCAGCAGCGACGGGACAGGCAGGGAGTTAGGCAGGCAAGCAGCATGGGGTTGCAGGCAGCCTTCTGCTGGGCAGAGGTGCTAAAATGCCCAGGGCCACAAGGCTATCGACTCAAACCGGGGTTCTGGCACTGGGTGGGGAACCCCACAGAGGTCGGGGTGCTGCTGGTAGAGTGGGGACCCCTTTGGAGGTTGGAGTGCAGCTGGCAGGGTGGGGACACCCTCAGGGGTCAGGGTGCTGCCAGTGGGGTGGACACCCCCAGCTCACCTGCGCCAGGAAGCACGCCACCCGGGAAAACTCCAGGAATCCCAGCGCCTGCCGGGCAAGAGAAAGGCAGGGATGAGCGCCCAGCCAGAGCCGTTCCCCGCCCCGGCCCCAGGCTTTGGGGCCGTGCACCTACCTGGTACTTTGGGGGGTTTCCCTGCCGCACCAACCCCGGGCTGCACCCCGCCCGGCACCACCGCACCTGCAGGCAGCAGAGACCCCCTGAGCCCTGGGCACCGGCTCCTGCCCACCCTGGCAGGCATGAGGACAGGTCTGCCCTGGGCTTGGCTATGCTGGGGACAAGGAGTATTTCCTACCTGCAGAGACCCCAAGCCCACCAGGACCACCAACTCCACCCATGCCACCAATGCCAGCGCCTGGGGGCATTGGGAAGAGGACTGTACCAGTGTGAGATGCCATCACTGGGCTATGGGTGGCTGGGGCGGTGCTGAAGAAAGGGGCAAGCTCAGGATAGCTCTTGGGGGCCAAAGGGGACACCCTGAGGCAGTACCAGGGATGGGTCCCCCAGACCTGGGCACAGGGACCGGGCAGCTCAGTGGTCTCTGCTCCTGGGGGCTCAGGTTTGGCTAATGCCCCCTTCCCAGCACACCAAGATATGCCAAGGTCCGTCCGAATTGGCGGGGATCCCCGCGAGAGCAGCACCTCCCGCTCGTAGCCCCCCAGCTCCATGGGGAAAGCTCTCCTAACCCAGGCTCCCAGGGGACACCAGGAGTCCCCAGGGGCTGCCTGAGCCCCAGCGTTGCCTTGCCTGGCATCGTTGCCTGGCCCAGCATCTCATCGGACACCCCCAGCACTCACCAGCTTTTGCAGCAGCCTTGAGCGCAGCGGCAGAGGGAGCACCTGGGAAGACACCCCCGGGGTAGGCGCCTCCAGGGAAAAGACCTGCAGCACCTGCGGGGAGGAGAATAACCAGCGTGAACATCCCCAAAAAGTGGCCGGCAAGAAGGTGTCCTGCCCTCCACGCCGGCCACGGTGGGCGCAGGGGGGTGGTGAGCTGCAGGAGGCTGCGCAGCAGTGCCGGCGGCTGGCGTTAGGCTGGGCAAGGCGGTGGTTAGCAGGCACTGCCCTGTCCTGCACTGGCTTCTCCCTGCATCCCCCCCAACTACCTGCTCCCATCCACGTTCCGCCTGTCACCAGCTGTGCCACCACCACCTGGGGCACCCTGCGGGGGTCCCCTGTGGCCCCAGGCAGGCTGGCCAGCCACGTGTAGGCACTGTCCCTCTGCTGCAGACCCCACGGGGACCCCAGGACCCTCCTCGCCTATTCCTGCTTGCGGTCACCCAGCCATGGTTGATGTCATGATGTTGGGGGACCACAGGGCTGCCTGTTGGTGGCTGCCAGTCCCTCAAGTCTGGGAAGGGTGCCCGGCCTGGATGGAACCCACCAGGCAGGCTACGGAGAGCACCCGATGGGGATAAGCCACGTGCTGTCCCCAAGGTGGGTCTCTGGGGTCGGTCCGGAGTGGGGGCGGCCGGTGGTCTGTGCTCACCTGGCTGCAGGCCAAGTGGGCCGAGTCCCCCGAGGCCTCCGACCCCTGGAAAGAAAAGTGGGGTGAGGTAGCGGGGGTACAGACGGGGCTAGAGGAGCAAGAGCGTCCCACTTGCACTGTCCCCATGGGACAGGAGCATGCCCCGGGGATGGGCACAGGGACGGGTGACAAACGTGCCTGCCAGCATCCAGGTTCCCCATCCCGTCCCTTTCTTCCTCACCCGCCCCCCACCCCACCAGGCCACGAGGGGACGGAGCCGAAATGTTTATGGCTGAGGAATGAGTCCCTCCGGCTCCGGCCAGCGCTGCCTTCCAACATCTGGGGCTAATCAGCCCTCGCTCCCTCCAGGCGCAAATTCCACTGCCTTTGGCTCAGGGCGCGGACACCGCTCCGGCTGGGGCTTCGCGGCTGCACCGCGTTTGGTTTTAATTACGCGGAAATAAAGGGCCTTGTTTTTCTTTCCACGAGCTGAAATCTGAGTAAACGGAGGTTGCCGGCCCCCACCTCGGGCTGGCGCTCCCGCCGTGCAGACGAGCCGGCTCAGGGGGCCGGTGGAGTGCAGTGTGCCCCTGCCCTTGGGTGCAGTGGGTGCTCCTGGGGTGGGCAGGGAGGGGAGACCTGGGTCTCCGCCTAAAAGAGCAGCTCTCCCTGGGCCTCGACGGGCACCAGGCATCTCTGTTGGCAGCAGATTTGTCCCCTGCACATTCGGTCCCTGCTGCCCCAGCACCTCCCAGCCGTGCCCCAGGCTCGGTGCCCTCGGGCTGTGCGTCCTCCTGCCAGGATCTCATCTCTCTCCCAGTGATGCCCCCTCTCGCCCTGTCATTTCTAGGCCAGAAAAACCCCAGCACAGGCTGCAGGAGCCCCAGCAAAAGCTGCTTGGCCATGAATGCAAGCAGATGAAGGTGTTGCCAGCTTCCCGTGGCCACTGGCTCCCGGCAGGGCTGAGCGACCTTTGCATCTTCCCGAGCAGCTCTGGCACATGTTTGCAAGCAGCAAGCACCCCAAAAGGGTGGTCTGTGGGGGTTGGAGGGGAGATGGCAGTGTGCCGAAGCAGCGGATGAGGGAGGAAGGCTCCCTTGTGGCTATGGGGTCTTGGCAGGGGTTAGTGTGGCAGGGCAGGGTGGAAAGTGCTGGCAGCTGCGTGCCTTGGCCATGGGGGAGCCCAGGATGGGGGGGGCCCTTGGCCACATGGGTGAAACATGAGGGCAACAGAGGTCAGGAAATATCCTGGTCACTGGCATGGCTGAAGATGGTGAGAGAGCCAAGGAAAGGCTTCTTACCTGGTTTGGGAGGTTTTGCTCCAGCCCCGAGTCCTAGGGGAGAGCACGTGGAGAGGGGTGAGAGCCATCCTTCCTCTGAGCATCCCCTGAGGCGGGGACACCGTGCGGGACAGGGCCAGCCTCATGGCAGACCCCGCTGCCCACCACAAGGCATCTCTGCCGGGCGTGCTGCCCCCCTCCCTGTCCCTGCACACCCTGGGCAAAGGGATCCCAGCACTCACCTGCTCCCAAACCTCCAACCCCAGCACCTGCAACCAATGGCAGTCTTAGCACCCATCCCTGTGAGCACCCACCACCTACCCACCCATGCCAGGCTCTCGGGGGTCCATGGGGAGGCAGAGAGGGTGACAAGGGTGCAAGGGGATGGGGCATCCTGCTGAGATGTCCCCAAGCTTTTGGCTGAAACACTGGGGACAGGCTGTGACCTCTGAGCACCTCCCGTGGCCAGGGCTGGGTAGGGTGTAGGTGCCAGCCCTGGGCTCGTGACCCTCAGTGTAAGCATGGCACTGCCACCCAGTCCTGTCCCCATGCTGTGGGGGTGGTGCTGGGGCAGCCACCCAGGGCTGAGCAGCCAGACAGGGTGTCCCCATGTCCCCTGATCCCAGCTGACAGGTCCCCAGCCCTCCATGCTGGCTCAGGGGCAGCCAGGGACCCCCCAGGCACCTGCCCCATCCCTGCAAGCAGGGTGATGCCCCCCCCAACACTGCCTGGACCCCTTTACCTGGGAAAAAGCCTGCTCCTGGAACTCCCCCTCCTGGGATAGCACCAGGGACCCCTGCAAGAGAAGAGACCCTCATTAAAATCCCCACAGGGATCCAAGTGATCCCACCCTGGCAGATCAGGGTGGGGGGCACCTCCTGGGACATGGAGCTGCTCCCTGCGGAGGGGGTGGGATGCAGAGCCCCGGGGCAAAGGGTCAAGGGCATGTCCCTGACTTTCCTTGCACACCTCAGTTTCTGCAGTGCGACAGTGGTGATGGGGCTTGGAGGTGCCCCAGCCGGGAGCCAGGGAGGGTATCTTGGTGGAGGTGTTAGCAGGACTTGGTCCTGCATGGGAGGGAGGGACACAGGGCTGGCACGGAGCAGGGCTGGCCGGTGTCCAGCTCTGCTTCCCAAAACCTGTCCCACACCACAGCCAGTGCCGTCTCCATCACCACTAGCTTCACGTGGGTCTGGGGGGACAGGTCCAGGCATGGTCATGCATGGAGGGGTGAAGCTGTCCCAGTTCATCCCCACAGCCCACGCTGGTCCCAGCCAAGCCTAAGCATGATTGGCTGTGGCTGCCCCATGCCCACGCTGCCTGCCCTGCTTTGCCCTGCCTGCTGAGCTGCCAGCAGGAAGAGCCAGCTCAGGCCAGCAGGACTGGGATGTTGGACTGGGCAGACAGTGCTGAGACCCAGCAAAACCACCTGTGTCCCTCTGCCCACCTCTGCGAAGCTGAGATAAGCGCCCAGCTCCCACCGCTTTCCAGGGCGTCTGGAGCTCATGCTCAGAGGTTGCGCTCAGACACCACAGCAATGTTTTTTGGCTGGTTTGGACACTGACAAAGGTCTGTCTCCTGCAGACACCCAGGCAGCCATCCCCTGGGTGGTCCCCCATGCTCCATCAGGGCCATGGATGGGGTGGAGGCTTGCAGGTGGCTTGGCAGCACAAGGAGGTTGCAATGCAGAGGGATGCTCCGCTTTTGGCTGGAGCATGTTTTTGGCACTGGGGGTGTTGCCACAGGGTTTGCAGTGAGATTTGCAGGATGGCTGGCAGGGCTTGCAGGGATGCTGGCAGGAGGATTTGGGGGTTGCCTGGCCAGCACCCCTGTGGCAAGCTGCACCCAGCTCTCCTGCCTGCTCTGGGCAGAGGGGCAGGGTGGACGGGCACTGGGGGCCCTGCAGTGGCATGGCTGGGACCTGAGGACCTGCTGTCCTGCTCCGAGGCTGCAGTGGCCTCTCCAGCACCCTGGCCAGGGTGGAGGGGACCCAGCATCCCCAGGAGCTGGGTGCATGCAGTGGCACAGCCCTGGCAACACCATCGCAGGCTGCATGGTGCCCATGGGCTGGGGAGGGTAGCCAGCACAGGCAGGTGCCAGGCAGGTGGCAGAGCTGGCATGCCATGGTGGGGGGCACATTGTGCTGCACATCTCCATTTCAGATGTGATGCAAACTCTGGGGGTCCCCCCTTGCTGTGCCCCGTGGCCCCCCACTTCACCCCAACAGCTGCCCGCTGCAACATGGCAGGGATGAGGGTGTCCCCTGGGCCCTGCTCACGTGTGTCCCCCACCACTGAGGGCAGCTGGGATGGACCCCCAGCCCAGCCACACAGAGAGACTGGGCAACAGGATGCACCCACACATGTGTCAGGACACACACACGTGTGCAAGAGGGGTGTCAGGCTGTACGTGCACAGGAGGTGTTGGGACACGTGCACCAGCAGGACACACGCCCACAAACCCATCGGGATGCACACGCAGGCGGAGAACCCATGCCAGGACCCACCACACAGCCCCCACATGCCCCAGTGATCCCAAAGAGCCAGGCTCAGCCCTGTGCCCCCCCAAAACCACCTCCCAGGGCCCTGCGGGGACTGAGGGCCAAATCTGGCCCTGGAGCAGCTGATGTCCCTTGGAGTGGAGGGGACAAGTGCTCAGTCAACGCTCCAGCCGGCCGGCTCACCCCTCTGGCACAGCACAGCCTGGCCCGGCTGCCGGCCAGGGGTTTACGAAGTGGCTCCTTTTCCCGGCACATTCCCCCGCCCACCCTCCCACACCC